TGTGTGCCTCGGAGGAGTGCAACTTGAGTTTACCGTTCCGCCTAGTAGCACCATACATTACCGAAGACCGTACAAATGTATTTTCCTCATGTCTCTCAAGAGAGAAAGTTACTTCCAGCTACAAGTTATGCCTCAAAGGATTGTACTTTCTATTGGCACTCTCGCTCGCACAACCATGCGTACGATCGTTAACACTTCCGTTCAGTTTCAAGAACGAGAATGATCTAATCTCATATCGCAGATCTTTCTGGATTATATCTGATATCATAAACTGAGTTATTAAGAGCATTTCTTCCAGGTAAATGTAAGCCTAAGTCTGAATTCCAGTCCAGTGACTAAGCAGGAAGAAACTAATACTATCAACAAACGAAATTGAAGATTGATCAGCAAGTTTGGCAGCATCGACAAATATGCATCAACTTTGGTAACATGGTATGAAGAGATTCAAATATATGTAAAGTTACATGCAGTTTTACCAAGCCCTGAAGGTATGTCTTTGATATGAGGAAACAAAGACTATCCAATTCATGTTACAGTTGAGCAATTTCGTTGTCCACCTTCACAATCATAGCGATGAGGCCAATTCGAAGTAACAGCTAAGGCTCTGCAAAATTTGACTAAATGGTCCAAAATTTATACAATCATCTTCCCGTAAACTTCCTCGTAGCTATAAATCTTGTTAGATAAATGCACACACATGATACGCATAATCTACAAAACGTTACCTGTTTTTCTTGCTTAAAATTCATCGATTCTTAAAAGCATATCTTAATCTATACTTGAATCGATATGGCATGCGATGAGATATGATACTGCTATGTGGTTTGTTGGAGGTCTTCACAGTATTACAAGGAAACCACGTCGTCATATACTTCACCCTCTAAATGTCGAAGTCAAGTCTAGAGCATCAGGAAAGTCTATCCCACAGGTGCACTTTTAGCATAGGGACGACCTTTTGGTCAAACATGGAATGAAATGAAGTCAAGGTGATTGATGATCCAACAGAATTAATTGTAACTTTTCTCCTTTTTCACTAATGTACACAACCGTCGATCTTCTTCTAGTGCGATCATGTCGAATTCCAGAGACCACAGGAGGAGGAATGTTCCAAGTTCGTTGGTTGTCGAGTGACTTAGTGTGACGGCCTCGTTCCACGAGAGGTGGTCCCGAAGTCCGCCAGGATAAAAGAAAACAGACATACTTGACAACATATTTTCAGATCCATCAGTAAAATAGCAGTTTAATCTGGAGGGAGGGTATTTTAAATTACAGGCGAGGAATGAAAGTACTGTCGATGTTACGAACTTTGTCTGTCCGGGCGTCCAGTCACAGGAATAGCTTCACGTTCAGCACGTTTGTGTACTAGCAACTTTCACTTCACGTCGTCAATTACCTCAGATGCCTCGAGATGAGAACTGTTGCTGCTAAACCTATCGTCATTACATTACAATGATTATCGTTACGCCCGTACGAGACTTTTGTTAATTTGTGGTCGGTGGTGGTCGACGTCGATGGTCTCTGAACAATATACATGGACTTTCGCGGTTTGACAAGAATGGGAAGACAAACAGATGCGAAAGTCGAGGGAGATGGACTGAGGATGGGCTATGAGTGTGTGGATTTAGATATGCGATAGGCAGTAGTACAAGGAAAACATGAGAAACGTGGTATCATGGTACCATCCATGTAACTGCGAAACCCTTCGCAGTTGCCGATGTTTCTTATTTGATACTTGTACATGGTGGGAGATAAACATATGAGTTTATCATTTGTTTGGATTGGTTGAAGATATTACATAAATCTGTTTTTCCACTTTTATGAATGCTATGCAATCATTTGCATCTCCTTGGAATTCGTACATATTTGGCTTCGTAAGTTTTGAAGAATTTTAAGCATTCATAGATGTATACATGTGTTCTGATGCCAAAGTACGAAGTCTCCACCGTGTCTAAAGCGGCCTGTTTAAAATCTTATAATATAATTTTGCAACAGCCTTGTTTTAATTGGTTTCTTTCAGTTCTGAAATGTCATCGTTGTATGTAATATTAGAAGATTGGAGAGAAGGAGCGCGCGGGGCCGCACAACTGACTGTGCTTATTTAGAGTCAAGTTATGGTGGAGATTCGGCCCCAGCCAAGAGGAATGCAATGAAGCTAATTTTGTATGCCCACCAGCCCGGGTTGCCATCATCTAAGCAATCCCCACTTTTCTCCTGTGATATACTGATTTGTTAAATAGGGAAAAGATTGTATATCAATTTAAGAAAGCCCTGTGGATGATATGTTGTTGTTCCGATCACTGGATCAGGTTACTGCAAGTCAAGTCCCAGGTTAAGGTTCTTATAACGAGCGGGAAGCGGTACATTCTTTGGAGGAGACAAAAAGGCATAGGAGAATCTGTCTCTCCGCTCGTAGCTTCGGATAGCGTAGGCCACAGCTAGAGTAGCGTCAGCTGGCAGTTGGCAGCTTCTGATTCGCTGCAAGCAAGCCGGGACATTGAGACGGTTAAGGTGGTTCAGGCGAAGATGGCAGAGAAACTGTGGAAGCAGCGGGTAAAAATACGGCCTAGCACGGCGACGAATGGAGGACTCTTGGCTGGTGCCGGTCACCGCCTTTAACCTCATCATTTGCGCTCTATGTAAGGGCTGTAGAGTGAGCTGTAAACGGTGAATACGAAGTAAGTGGCGACCGGATACGCAATTTACACCTTGGAGCTGACTCAGCCGACCGAGTACCTCCGTATACGTGTCACATGTTGTCGACGCTTATCCTCAAAGCGGTGACGGGTTGACGGGCTTCTTGTCCTCCGTACGTACTAGGAGTTCAAGGTAAACAGAGTTTCATGTCCCGGTCATATTGGACGGGAAACCGAAGATCCCTACTCTCCGTTACTTTACCCAGCAGGAGGTCTGACGTTCCTCCTTCCAAGACCGAACTAAAAGCGACACTTGCATCTTACACTGCCAACATTTCGTCCTTGAGAAACTCGAAGGTTTTTCCGACCAAATTCACGATCTTTGGGGACACTATTCTGCCTCTCACAGCTGAAATGCGAAGGTTAGTTCGAATGATTCAACCTTTCTTGCACAAGAGAAAAAATTACAAAAAGCGAGACATAAATGCATAGAGAGGAAGGAAAATCACGAGACACATCAACCTCCCCAAAGTTGGTCAAGTAAATTTATGAAGTCCACATAACTCGTAATTCGTTTGACGTATGGGCATTGGTAAGAATTCCATTGTTTGAAGCCTAGATACGTTACATATTATAATCAGTCGTTCATGGTCCAATGCGAATCACTCATATGCTAAACAGATTACCAATCACGTTGTAACTTTTATACAGATGATCCTCGTCAAATCGCCCTCATACTTCAACCTTTGATGTGAATGTTGATCGGATGTTTTTTTAAGATCGTAATATAATAAATAATCCCACTCGTTTCAGTATTAGATTTTAAGGAAAATATTCATTCAGTATGTGGAGAAAAATATGGAAGACTATTTATGTCATATGTATATGAATCATAAAGATCCAAATATTATAAATTAGTGAGTATAATAATTCATGTTATGTGAATGGAATATATTTTTATAAGATATAAAAATGATTTATACGGCGGTAATTTATACAAAAGCCTATAAGAATTGAAATAGAGTGGTGATTTTTGCAATAAGAGTACTCTTGACCCACACATTCCCCAGATCTACGATAAGACAAGTAGGCTTCAGTTCATATTCCCCTCTTTGACTGGACTTTGCAGCGGAGTGGAGCGGCGAAAACACTCTCCTCGGGCAAGAACCCAGTTCCAGAGAAACACGTCTCGTCAGTAGGAGGTTGCTTGAGCGGCGAAGATGGAAGCTTTCCAGCAGGACGTGGAAAAATGTGGAATAAGATAATCCCACCGGAGAGCCCGTCGCAGAGAGGGGAAGTGTTTGCAGCCGACTGCATCCAGTGCATCATAGACTGTCGATTATTTTCAGATGATCTCAGCGGACCCCATCAGCAGATAACGTTTGTTGGATGCAAGGGATGTCCACGCCTTCGGGCAAATAATTGAAGCGCAATTTTGAGGATGTGTCGAGGGACGTAGGTTCGGCACGAGACTGGTACTTCGTACTCGTAGATGTGATCACGATCCTCCGGGTCACGGGCCTTCTTGCTCGGACCGTCTCCTCGGTCCGGGTCCCGGTCCTCGGTGCTTCCCACACCGTTGAAGCAGAGCGATGCGTCCATCTCCGCTCTCTATTTTTGCTTTAACACTTTTTTGCTTATTGCAGCATACGACGCTTTTCCTTTATACGAGGTCCCTTTGTACGATGCCGTGATACCCTATAATGTGCAGCTTTGAAAATAAAGCTTGTCGAAAGTTGTGTAACGAATTCCCCGCAGCATCGATCGATCCAATCCAGTGCCCCTTTATCAAGGCTCTCATCGATCCACATGGACCAAAAACATCATCATCCGCAGGGCCAGACTTAGATTTTATAATGACTTAAAGGAATCCTGGTCTACAAAAACTCTATAACGATGTAGTGTTAAATTTACAGCGTTGCACATAGTAAGTTAAAAATAAAATTCTAGATTACCTAGTCCAATATCAACAGTCCAATATGCTAAGAATACGAATATCGTGATATATTTGATATCGTCATTATATTTGAAACCTGCAGGCTTTTAATATAATGAGCAGATGACGGAAAGAGACTGAGACGTGCGTTCTCCAGTCTCCGTCGGTGGAAGGCGACCGGGAAACGGGATCTGAGAACGGGGTCACCGTCGGGGCTGGAGGCCTTGTCACGAGAAGATCTTTCAGCCCGATTTGCGGGAAGCAAATCTACCTGGCGGAGGAGGCGATAAGAGCTCGCTATTCTCTAACCGAATTCCCACGAACTTACCAGACCCGGAAATAGAAAGGGTTAGAAAGGCTGTTTGGCAGGATTGGAGTAATTTTGGGCAATATACTTATACGCGACCATCCGTCATTCCGGCCCCGAGGAAAGGCGTCCTTCGTTCGCTCTGGCACGAGAAAAGTCGACTTCTTGTTCTTGAACATCTTCTCTTCTCTTCCTTCTCTCTCTCTCTTTGAAGCTTCGCTCGTGCACGCAAGAGCTCCGCGCAACCGACCCAGCCAGGGGGACGAAGAGATTGCTTACATTTGAGGAAAGGGCAGGAGGTGACGGGGCGTGTTAGTTGTATAGGACGGCGATTGTTGAAGGACGAGGTGCGGGAAAGAGCGCCGGGTGGGAGGAGTTTGAAGCAGCAGCTGAATTGGATGCGGAACTGAGGAATTTGTCTTCGCGTGTGGCGGTGGGGGAATTGGGCAGCGGGAGAGGTGGAAGAGCGTGCGCTATGTTAGAATGTTGAGCAGCTTGTCGATCTTGGGGTCGGTCGAATGTGGAGAGCGTTTGGAGTGAATCTGCATTGAGTTCTCTTGGATCTGGCTCGTTCATTTTGGAGACTCGGACAAAATTTTTTACAGGATTCCTTTTTTGCACCTGCACGAGGTGTCGAGGGGTATTAAGGTGAGGTAGTGATGGTTTCTGATTGGATCGACCTCTGATTCTGTATCAGTATTTACATGACGTTGTGTCTTGAGATTGTTCGGACTCGGGCTCTGTACCGTGTTCCGGTGAACGCAAAGTCTTCATTCTTTAGTCCAATTGTGCTGGGGGAACGACCTCTTTGTTGTAATTTAGATGGAAGTTTGAGGACAACGTCTCCTCATTGTCTCCTCTGGAAAAGTCGAAGACGCTGCCGTAATCTCATTGAGATGGACGATGCAAGATAAATGAATATAGTAGAATGAACTTGTACTTCCGTTGTGGATATTGAGTGTTGGTTTTGGTTTGTTTTTCTCGTTAACTGTATCGTAAAGTTCCACAATGTCCACGGTCCTTGTGTACGTAAGAGACGGTGCTCCATCTGATGTGAGTGTGCGACCTTGTCTTGGCCGCAGAGTTGTCCATTGGGTGCGGAATATGGTACCAGTTTGCAGGGGATCTGCAAACTCAATGTATAGCATGGACGTTTGACTTTTCTGGCCGGTGGAAGTTTACAGCAGAGGTTTTGGTCTTTGGAAGCTTCTCGTCCGTTCGACGAATTGCACCTCAAGAATATGGGCAAGAGGGTGAGGATATGTATTGGGATGGAGACAGGGGTGTGCGCGAACTGTATTTTCTGTACCCAGTCGTCAGTATAGGAACAGGTGATTATGTGGCACTTCTGAACGACAGAACAAGCTTACAGCCTCTTCTACAGAAAATCAGTGTCACGGAAGTCAAAGTGGCTGAAGGCTGTGGAGAATGTTAGTTCATGAAAGGTAGCACAAGAATAAGGCAGGAGGGTGGACAGGTATTGCTTTCCGTTGATGATCTAATAGCAGTTAATTAACTGCCTCTTTACGAAGGGCTGTTCTGGCACAAAGTTTCTGTGGACACAAAATGTTCAAATAACTGATTGGGAGAAATTTATGGATGAGAGAGAATATCAGTTGGGTAGGAGAGTTTGATCAAGCAGGAGCTATCGTACTCAATACTTTCTATCAGCTTTTTCTCGGTTCCTCGCCGCAAGTTGTATATAATACCGCTAGGGACCATTTCGCAATGAACCGACTGCCGCTTTCCACGGAGGAAGTTGTAGTATGTTCAATCTCTCTTGAACGACCTGCACGAACAGTTCCCGAAGGTAAGTTGGCTCTGTATCTAAACCGTTCTGTTTTCTTGAGATTGACAGTACCGAGACTTTTTTGAGTCAAAGTTCCGAAAAGGGAATGAAACGAAGAGCTATTATTATTCTAACTCGAGATAGGAAAGGCTCGCAAATTGCTCTTTGGATATAAGACTCGATAGGTTGTAGGGTCCATTTTGTCCAGGGTACGCATGTAGATAGTTTGCATGTTATTGGACACAAACATTTTCGGAATGGATGTCATAAAACGAGACCGAGCAATGACTCTGACATTTGTAGCAAATAGTCTTTGATCAACTGAGTGACGCCAAGACCAAGCAATGAATCATCAGTTGTTTGCGTTAGTATTTTCACTTTTCCAATTTTTGAGTTCAGCAAAGTGTCAGCTGCGAGCAACTGACAGTTGAAAACTGCGAGGTGACAGAGAGATACAATGATTTCTTAGTACATCAGAATTACAGGATTAGATTCAAGGGAACAATTGAGGAACTATTAAACAATCTGAATGCCACTCTTTCCGAAGCTATTAGCAGGTTTTGGATATTGATGGTATCCTATAAATAGACTCAAAATGGGAATCACATTTAGAATTGAAAACGTGTTAAGTGGTAACTACCGTGTCCTCAGAAGATCACATGTTTTAGTTGGTGAAATTCCGACCTTTGTACCACATTTTTCATGTGCAGTTATCTGGCTTGGAGAAGTTGTCTTCGCTACGTTCTCTAAAGGGGTACGACCTTTGGCTTTGTGATCTGTAGAACTAAATTCAAGTAATGTTGTAAGCAATGCACGCGATCATGTGATGTATTGCTTTGTTTTCATTGTTGCGCTGATGATTTGGAACTGTTTGGAGTCTGCTTTCAATTGCTCCTCTCAAGCAAAGGATATTGATAAACTTGTGTTAAATCTACAGGTAGAGAATATCTGCGACACTTTACAAAAAGTGATGCGAAGATGGACCACCGACCTTATTGTCCGGAGGTATTTCTAGATCTAGTCGTTGAAGTGTCACAAATCTTGTTCCTAAGTTGTTGTCCTATTTGCCGGTCAAGTGGAAAAGCATTATGTATGTGTATGGTCCAGGAATTTCTTTACATTAATGTGCAAAACCTTTAATTCTGTTGTTTGCCAATACTGGAATCTTACGTTGCTTGTTGTTGTTGTTGTTGTTGTGCTGTTGGCGCTGTCGGTGTCATGATTACGCGCTATTTCAGTGTTCTAGGACTCATGGTGAGTAATCGGAATCGAGAATGGGGAATAAGCCTATGTTTGTGTGTGGCTGTATTTGATTCTGATCATTGGCAGACCTATAACTACGACGATGGGTCATTTCTTTCACAGATGTAGGTTTTTATAAATGTTGTTGCGATTGATTTCAAGTGTTGATATTGCTGCCTGTGTCCATGTGTCAGGTCATTGTCAACCCACGCTTGAACAGCAATCAACAGACTCATTTGACGGTGTGTGATACTGAGGGCTTGTGTCTCGCTCTTCTGCTTAGAAATCTGTGAAATTCAGGAATCTGGAGCTTGGTTTTGTGCTGACAATGATAAACTTTGCCGCTTTTCCTGTTCCGTAGATATGTCATCGCTTCTCTTGTTCTCGTGTTTTGCTTGTTGCTGATGACTATTTCTTGTATTTTCCAGCCAATATTAGCAAGAGTTGTAAACCAGTTTGTGTGGCAACGATCTCTGGATTTGAGAGTGTTGAGGTAATTGATGATAAAAGTTTGAAAGTTTTCAACATTTTACAGCATGGATGCAAGCTGTTCTTGCTAGGTTCGACTGGGTTCTTTCAGTTCAACTATTGACCTTGTCTTTTGTTTTCCAGAGGCATCGTCGCATTGGCATGTCCGAACCAAGATACTGCACTTCTGTTTGGCTACCTGGTAACGTTCTTTCTTTCATATATGAAGATTGTGTTCATGTTTGACATGTTCAATCTTACAATCTCTTCGACTCAGGAAAATCTTTGACAAGGATGCAAATGTTTGTCTTACCTCGTCATGGATAGAGGTAATGAAATTGACTAGCTATTATTGTTTGTACAGATGGAGGTAATTGCTGGTTTAGCACACCATCCATGTCAGGAAGATGATATAATGGATCAGACTACGGCCTCGGATTTAGAATCACCTGCAGCAAGCTCTGTCGATGTACGATTACAAATCTTACTTTGAATCAACATAAAATTTTCTCATACATGTTTTTCCTCGTGCAAAGCACACCAAAGTATTGCGATTTTTCGATAACGTAGAAGTTCGTCATACAAATAGTGGATTGACATACTGATCCTATTGTGTCCGCAGTCTTACGTGGAGGAGGCCAAAGTAGCCCACACTCTTACTCAATTCTACTGTGTGGAGCCTATATATGTAGCCGCCATGCCTTGCGTGGTAAGTCAATCAACTATCCCTCATGTTCGCCAGTTGTATTCAAAATTCTTGTTTGTTTACTGGGAATATATACGTGGTATTTTTCTTATTGGTGAGGAGATTGATGTTTTACTTTGACGTATCCTTGATCTTCTGTATCATTCTTGGTAAGAGCCCTACGTTTTGTCCATGCAGGTGAAGAAGGCAGTTTTGGGAGCTTTGAATGGCGGGCTGGATGTAGCACATAACAACCCAAGTGGTTTACTTGTATCAAATCAACAATCTCCCCCTATATGCTGCATCACTTTGGAGCCTCTGCTCTGCCCGGTATGCAGCTTGCATGACTTTGGAGACCACGTGTTGAAATTACAACCCTCGTTGTTTGTGAAAGAAATGTCAATGTCGTTGCTTTCATTGAACCCCCCCTTAGACAACGCTAGGTTTTCCATCATTGTGACCATCTTACCAGAGAATCAAATGTCGTGTGTTGTGCATCGTAGGAGTTGAAATGAAAGGTAGTTACTGATTCGACATTTTGCGAAAATAATTGTCTGTATTGTTGCTTACGTTGGAACATATATATTGTGGTACAGGACGGGTCGGTCACTGCTGATGTAGTCGCTGTGGTCCAAAAAAGTCAAACAATTGGGAAAGACCATGCGGTAAGCACGTTCACGTAAATTTAAAGAATCATAAGAAACTTTATGACGTTGTAGGCTTTGTTTGTGATTCATGACTGGAGTTGGATTGGTCGGAGCTTCAAACACAGGAGATGTTGCTAATTCAAAGTTTCATGTGATGCTTCGCTGGATGCAGTTCTTGTATAGAGGGCGAGCATTGCGAGACTGGCACGCACATTCGACTGTCCCCACGAATCCCGATACACGTACCTTGGTTAAACCCACTGAGGTATTTAGACTCTCATAGCGCAAGCAATCGTTCAACTTCTTTGACGACTCTCTTCACCATCTACAGCAGGGAACCAATACGATTTCTATATCTGCATTCTTGCGTAATGTGTACCATATCCTAAATTTGAGAGCAAATGGCTTCTCCTTAGGAACTAGAAGTAACACAGAGCATCATCGCTCTCATTTTTTACCTCAAACGTTGCACGTAGGAATGAGGGTAATTTATATAGGTTCTTACGGCAAAGTAGATCAATTTGAAGGATTGTGGTATTGAACATGAGGAATAGTCATTAACCGATACCATAGGTACTAGATTCAAATTAAAAATTGTAAAGATAGAAGATGGCTAAGTTGTCCAAAGGGCAGCCAATTTGTATACTGATAAGCTGTATATTCTCGGAGCCGATATCACAGTATTTGGGAAGTGGAGATCTGTCCCATTTACAGTTCCATGACCACGGTCTCTTTATAAACATACGAAGTATGAGTTTCAAAAGGCGGGTTGTGTGTATCCCCAAGTATGATATTTGTTTTGATATTTATCGTGTGCATCATGATTATCGGTGTAGGGTTACTATCGATTAATATATGTGATACATCATCCGAGTGTCTTGCCTTGAATGCTTGTCGTTATCTCCCAAGGATGAACGGTTTGTAATTCGTTGAACTTTTCTTAGTATTTGTGTGACATGGGACCAATCTGAAGTAAAATGGATTTTGCTATTATCTTTGATACTCGAAGATGGGTTGAAAAGAGGTTAAGGAAAATGTCGAGTACTTGCAAGTGGACAGTCATGGTCAGGACTGAGCCGTACATCAAGTTGAAAGCTCTAGATTTGAATTGGAACAGTTAATAGTACCCGAATGTGTATGCAAAAATTTCTATGTCAAGTCGTGAATTTTTCTTTTTGGCTTTTATTCAAGGAGGTTGTATGAGAAGTAAGTATATTTTTTTGGAGTTCGGCGGAGTAGGTATAGATGTAATTGTTAATCGCTTAGTCAATTTTTTGCTTTAAAAATTAATCATGAAGAATCATGAATGTGATAATCTGTAACGAGTAATATATGATCACCATTAACTACTGAAGGAAACGGGTTTATGTTATAAGCGATCTTTTAAGTTTGTCTTATAAACTCCTTTAATATGGTTTCAATAGTTGTGGGAGTCAAACATATATTGCCAGTCATTTTTATTTTAGAAGTATTTGTGTTTTTATTTCGAAAAATAAAGAAAAAAATCTAATGGAATTTAAATATAATTTGAGTTATAAGTTTTGGAAACATGTAATAATTTTTTTAATTAGTTGAATGCTGATAAGTTATGTTCAAGCGAATAATAAATAGAAATATTGTATACTAGCATGAAACATGCAATTTTCTATTAATTGTAGTATGGTATTCAGAATATAAAAATATAATTCCAACAGTTGAAATATTGTACAAAGGATCGTCTTGTAAAATTTACCTCCAATAACTCCTTTCACCTTCGCCAAAAGGTGATGTTATATTGTCAAAAGAAAAACTCCATGTTCTCGATATCCTGAAACATTTTACACGAAATCTTCGTGACTGTTTTTGATAATATCATATACTGCACGTAATAGGTAATAGCATTAATTTTAATTTTTATATTTTAACCTTTATAAGTTAATGTAATACAGATATAAGATTAACTTCAAAAATATTATAATTATTAACACAAAAACTAAAAATAGAAAAATTATAAATAGTATATATTACTTACGACATTTTTAAATAAACTAAATATTTCGCAATGCACAACAAATATACACATGACCTTTCCATAGCAGATATTATATTGCAATAATAACATCAAGAACCTTGACATGCCATTTACCCTCTGAGCACTAACCGATCAGTAAACTCATGATCGCGATGGGGGCGAGGAAATACGAAAGCAAACACAATTTTTCAGCAACGGTGGTCGCATTCGTCTCCTGTTCCGCCGTATCCGGACAATCGGAAGGAACGCTATGCCAAAGGCGCAGTCCTCAAAAGATAAACGAATTGGCTCTCTTCCAGTGGGAGCTAATATCGCCATGCTTCTGTCTCTGATTCCTGCAACCCCACCGCAAAATCCGACGTTGAGTGTCGGTTCAAGCTAGTTCTCGACAATATTGTCCTGGTGAGTGTGGGCTGGCTGCTCAGCGGGACAATGTTTTCTAAATCTAGATTTGCAAAAAATTTCTTGGCATTCTCGGAGCGGTTTGTAGTAGTAATCCAGTCTGAGAGATGGCTCAGGATAGAATGGAAAATCCATTTCAGGTCTTGAAACAGGAAATTGATGTACACAAATCTTCAGACTTGCCAGATGTACCAAAGCTTTCGTTTCTGAGACAGGGTTCGAAATACAATCCGCCCGTTGATTTCGATGAAAATGTTATGAGAAGGCGGGTGGCGAAGCTGATCGTGTTTGGGTTCTATGGGAAATCGGTGAACTCACATGCTCGCGAACTTATCTCTCATGGTGAGTAATGAAAGCATTCAACGTTCTAGGATTGAAAAAGTTGTAGTTTTGCTCGTTTTTTTCGTATGACAGTTTCTGGTTATATTTTGTAGGCGCAGGAGGAGTAATTATCTTCAGAAGAAATGTCGAAGATCCTTTCCAGGTACGTCAGAATGAATCTTTCTCACCGAGAGCTCTATGTGCCCAGTGTGCAGTATTCTCAACATCATATGACCATTTTAGATGCCACAGGTTAAATGTTCTGGTGAATTCGAGATTAATTATAGTTTCCATCAATCTAAACCATCTCAAGATTTGAATTCGTGATGTTGTTGCTCAGGTCGCGGAGCTATGTGCTGAGCTGAAACAAGAAGCTGGAGACCGTCATTTGATAACCATGGTTGATCAAGAAGGTGGCCGTGTTCAGAGAGTTGGACCACCCTTGACATCTTTGCCATCAGCGCGAAGGGTAGGTTTGACAGGGGATTCCAAAGCAGCAGGTGCAATTGGGAGTGTAGTCGGGAAAGAGCTCCGAGCACTTCACATCGACATGAATCTTGCCCCAGTCTTAGATGTTGATATAAAACCGTCGAATCCGGTGCTCTTAGGTAGGTCATTTGGGACCTCTCCCGAATTGGTTGCCGAATTTGGATATGAATTCATACGAGGTCAGCAACGAGAGGGGGTAGCGGCATGTGCTAAGCACTATCCAGGGATGGGGAACATCTCTATCGATAGTCATCTAGAGCTCCCTTTAATATCAAGTGACCTCGATCATCTAACCAAGACAGACATGCCTCCATTTCAAAAAGCAGTAGAAGCTGATACTGCAGCTGTCATGGTGGGGCACGTGATTGTTTCTTCTTTCACAGGTAGCGAATCAGATGAATCCAGTTTCCTGCCAGCCAGCTTGAACACTCCAGTCATACAATTCCTTCGGAATCAGTTTCTCTTCGAAGGTCTGATCATGACTGATTGTCTGGAAATGGGAGCTATTGCAAAACATTATACAGTTGAAGATGCCGCAGTACAAGCGCTGTTAGCTGGTGCAGATATGCTGCTCGTATGCCACACTAGGGCTGTACAGTTACGAGTTATAGACAGGCTCACGGAAGCGGTTAGGAAGGGCATATTGCCTTTAGACAGAATTGAAGAAGCTGGACAGCGAGTGGATGATCTTGCCAATACGTATTGTAGAAAAGCACCGAGCTCACGTGCGGGATTTGAACACGATTATCACGTGGAAATGATGGAGCTGATAGGATGTAAAGAACACCAAATCATTGTGGCTAACGTACTGCATCACATAGCATTAGCCGAAGCTTTCAGTAAGATGGAAACATCGAAGTAAAGTCGATGCTTTCGATTTGTCACTGCTCATTTATTTTACAATGTTTGATGAGTCTTTCAACTGCTCTTTGTCGTAAAGGTAAAAACAAAGAAAACCTTTCACTTCGACTCGTCAATTGATGTGCATGTTTTTGGCCAACAGGTCGCGAGGTCGTTAGTATGGTACGAGTATTTTATGAGTATTTTTTTGTTCCCAGATAAAGGCGTGAGTGAATTTTGTATTTTCCCACATCATATGACCACAAGGCATATTCAAATGGTATCCACATACAATCAAGTGTAACTGTCTCACGCATCTTCACCTTCCTAATAACAGGTGCGGAAACTCGCCACAAGTTAAATTTATGGATATTGCAAATGCTTTGAGGAAATTTAAGAGCACTGTTTTGTGTGGTCAAAGTTGGGGGCATTGTCGTCTTTGCAATGCACTATAACTAAATCATTTACATAAAATTTATTGAAATTAAAATACAACTAGGACCAGCCCCCGGTGTTTTGTATCATGCAAGCGGATCAGACATCAAGCCCTGGAAGTAATTTCATACCATGTGTCACAAAAGAGAGTGGGATTAACTCTCCTTACATTAAAGCAAACAAGCAGCCAATATTCAGGTGACAGTAAGATGACTGTGAACCCAAGAGCCATACAAAACCTCGTGGTACAAGAAAAGCCTATGGTCGTCCAGATATGGAGGGAAAATGTTTTACTCCATCCTAAGCAAAGTTAAAAATCATCATGTCATGCTTCCCTTAGACCGATGTGGATTACCGCACTCTGACCCAATGTCGAGGAGAAATGCAAAGGCAAGTGTTGGAGGTTAGTTTTGTATACTGTGACACTTTGGAGAAAATCATCGCACATCATTAGGAACTATAACCACAGCTTGCTATCTCTTCACTTTCCGATAATTTTCACCGCATTTAAATCCGTCTCTACGGTAAACATGACACTGGTAGAAATGTTCATGAGTACTTAACTTCAATGTAATACTATCGGAAAGTGGAGATCAAGTAATACAGCAAAATGGGAAGGCCCCATCAAGCCCTGCACGGATGAAACCAAACGGGTAGCATTTTGTAATGGACTTGTACCAAAAATACCAAAAAGATAGACGAGGAGCATATGTCTGAAATTTCCTTTTCTTCTTTCTTCGTTTATGAGGACAATTAGAGGAGAAAGGATATTATGCAAAGACCGTCAGAAGAAAGTAGAGCCTTGACGGGTTTGTGACATTAGAATGAAGAAAAGCTACTATAGCATTGTCAAAGCATCTTCAAGTCTACATATGTTTCTCCCCTTTATATTTTCCCATTTTCTAAGCAAAGAGGAATATCACTGAATGAGCTGAGAGAGAGGAAACCAAATTAATAGATCTAGTAAATATTCTCACACCCTCAAGAGAATCCAAAAACAATTTTTAAGAATGAACTTCGTTACCAGCGATACGAAGCGACAAAATTGCAACAGTCAGCAAAAACTTGCAGCCCAGACAGATCTGAGAAGCATTCCATCATGAGAGCACGCCCCTACGAATTTCAGGATGGCACAGTATTGGGAGGGAAAAAAAAAAAGAACGGGCGAGACGTGAAATGAAAACCATATCCTCAAGGGCCAAGGAAGGCAGAAGAAGAAAGCTGCGTGTGTGTAAGAGACCGACCTATAAGAACCGACGCAAGGGACCTCGAAAAGGTAAAAAGCTCTTATAAAGCGAGAATGACAGACAGTCACTAAGGGAACAGTGATCGCGACGGGCGAGAGCAGCAGGAGCAGCGGGGGCACAGCACAAGAACTGTACAAGCACTGGCGCACGAGGGATGCGAAAAGGTAAGTTCCTATAGCGAGGATGGAAGCACGCTACAAGAGCGCGCAGTTCTTATTGCTCCGGCACTGAACGCAGTGCCGCGTGTCCGCGATTCGTGAGCCGCGCTCCCCGGGCCTCAGCAGCGCAAGCCACCGGCGCAAGCGTCGCCCGTCGTCCCTCGTCCCTCGTCGTCGTCCCTCCCTGGCTCGCTGCCTTCGTCCCTCGCTGCTCGAGGGGAGGAGTCCGGCTCCTGATCTAGGCCTTGGCCTCTGGCAGGCCCTGTCTCCTTTGCTTGTCTGGCCAGCCAACCCAGCCCTGCCCTGCCCCTTGCTGCCCTGGCCTGCCCTTTCCTAAAGCTCCGTCGATCGCCTCTGCATTGCTTTCGATACGATCGTTCGATCGGTCGGGCCTCTGCAGTTTCCCCGGCTTCTGTTCAGCTCGGTGCATCGATCGGGAGCTGGGCTTCGTCTCTCATTCGGGTGTGCTCCGATCTTGCTCCGGCCTCGGTGCAGGATTGTGGTATGAAAGGACGAAGTGGGGTTTGCAGGTGAGATAAAGGAGAGAGGGGCAGCGAGAGTGTGATCTCGGAGGAGGAGGAGAATCAGCGAGCGAGCAAGGAGCAGCAGCAGCAGCAGCAGGAAAAGGGGTTGAGATCCATATTGGCACGTTTGGTTTGTGATCTATACGCCCGCCCGTCATGGCCTCCGAGCCGGAAGTCTCGAAAGAAACGGTGCGTGGTGGGGGAGAGATCTACTTTTTTCGTGAGATCGGATTTGAATTGGTCAAGTTCTTTGTTCGATGGGGTCTGAGCTATGCGTAGCTTGGTGGCCATTCATGTCCAGGCTCAGATCACCGTGGGGGATGCGGAATTCTGCTGATCGTCGGCTTTGAATTCCGAAACCCCCCACCATAACTTTGTACTGGCTGTTGTTGTAAGATTGTTTAGATTTTCCAGCTGTGTTCTGTTTTCTTTGTTAGCTCGCATTGATCGTACGATTTTCAACGGCAAGGCACTTTTGCTGGCGAGGAGAGTGACATCGATTGGTGTTATTTCCTTCCATAACCTAAAGTTGCGTTGTCATCCTATCGTTACAGTCTTGTCCCAATCTAAGTGGTCACTCGTGTTATACTCTGCAGGTCCTTAAGCGGGACATTCCATGGGAAACTTATATGACAGCCAAATTGATCACCAGTACAGGCTTGCAGTTGCTCAGGCGCTATGATCACAGACCCGACAATGTTCAAGCTGCTCTTCTGGACGAGGTACCTCTTGCCTGAACTCTACGTTTTTCTTGACGATGGTTTTCGAAGGATTTGTATAGACGGGTTGATGAGGGCCTTTTGAGTATCTCCTGTACTTAGAATTCACAATCTTCTCTTGCATCCGATTTTGAAATCAAACCTCATGAAGACATCAATCAGCTGCAAATGAGTCGAAAGTCCTGGCACACGTCTTCTGTAGATGACTCGTACGACTGAGTCGAGATCTACTCTATCTTGCTGAAGTTCTGGGGTCTTTTCTACCTAGGGGTTAGGGTGTTTATCGATGTAAATTTTTTCCTTTCAAAACCTCTAAAACTAAGTAAATGTTCATGATTATTTAACCATTACATGGTTTTAGAGGTTTTGAGAAAATGTTGCTGGAAGGTTTATCAATCTTACAAGGACACTATATTTTATAAATCTGTTATTTTCAGAGCTTTACAAGCTCAGAACTTTTATTTTCCACTTGAAAGTTGGTTAACGTATGTAATGCATTCCCGGATGATTAGTTGTTGCAGATCCGTACTCTCTGCTGATCTGTTTTCTCTTGTGACTTGTAGAATGGTGTTGCCTATGTCCGCGTTTTTGTGGGTATACTACGAGATATTACCAAGGAGGAAACCGTGGAGTATATGCTTGCTGTCATTGATGACATGCTCTCAGGTATGGCTGCAGATATCGCAAACATTGTCCTCATTTTCAGGTTTTCTTCACGTGGCTTTGACACTCGCTGAGGAGATTTTCTTGGTGAAAGTTGGTGGAAAAGTAGCGTTGTTGAGAATGGTCAACTTACTTGGAATGAAACGCTCCCTTTATTCACCATTCTCACATTGCTGTATGTGTTGGCCTCCACCGATGACAATAAGGCTGCGCAAGCGACTCTGCTATATAGCCTGCTTATCGTGCCTTATTTGCAGGCAAACTGTTAGTATACATGTCCTTTCTGAATGCAACAATGCGGTGATTTCGTGGAAAGAATCTGTTGAATCCATGTGTGTGTTTGCGTCACTATGGAAAATTCAAGCTAGAGATTTCTGCTCACTAGCAATAGTTTTTATTTTCTGTCACTAAAGCTACGATGTGTTATTTGCAATATGCAGCTAACCCCAAACGAGCAAGGCTCTTTCACGACAAGGCGCTCTCTGGGGACGATGTGTACGGACCCTTTTTGAGGTGAGAAGATCAAAGTAGTTATTCGCTTGTACTCCCTAGCCTACACCGCAAGTACCGTACTTATTAGTACTAACTGACGTTTTGTGTTTATTTTGTAGGCTGTTGTCCAAAAGAAAGTGGTTTATTCAAGAAACGAGTTGCAAGATTCTCACTCTCATCATCAGGTTTGTTGGCTCATAAATAGTGGACATTCAACCTGCCAAAATCCATTCACTGCGGCACTGGAGGGCCTAATGCTTGGTTCACCAGAGATTTTGGGTCTTGCTTTAACGCCTGGCTCCTAACGCTAGAAATGTGCAGTGCACGGCCAAGTGAGGAGATTTCAATGTACGAGGAAAATGGTTCATCATCATCCTCATCTAATGGAGCCCAGAAACAGCCCTCGGATGACTTTGATAAGACATTGGCCGGCGTTGTCGAATGGTTGTGTGTCCAGGTGCTTACTTCTGGGCTTGTGGACTGTTTGCATCTATCTACTGTAACATCAAGTCGTGTTCTTTCTGCTGATCTGAATATCCTTAGTTTTACCAGAGAGTTTGTGTCGGAATCTTGGAGCCATCCAATCTTGCTGCCTACAACTCAGCTACTAGGGTTTCAGCAACGATCAATGATTAACTCATTCTTAAAGAGTATTCGGCTTCGTATTTTACTGCAAGCTTCGCAATGTAAACTATTGTTGCTCTGGTCTCTAATTGAAATGTGCCACTGTTGTCAGCTGAAAAGCCCCTCCCATCCAACTCGAGCCATCCCAACTGCAGTGAGCGCTTTGGCGATCCTTTTCAGGGAAGCCAAAGTGAGGGCTTTGTTTGTAGAGGCAGGGGGCGTGAAGTCTCTCGTTCCCTTGATTTCTCCCGCATCTACCCAGCAATACATCCAGGTTGGAACTTAACAGCAATACCTGCTTTGGTGTGTGATGTTTGTCGATTACTTTGAGATGAACCCAAATGTGAGCATTCAACATATCCTCGTCTTTTGTTCACAGCTTCTGTACGAAGCTACTTTGAGCGTATGGCTTTTGACATTTTACGAACGGGCTACCGAGGCAATGGCTGAGACGAAGATTATTCATCAACTCGTGGAAGTTGTCAAAGTTTCCACAAAGGAGAAGGTAACAAAACTGCCATCATGGGTCTGTCTTTTGCAAAAAGCATTGTTTTCAACTAACGTCTTTTGAAATATACTAGTTGATTGACACTTCCTCCACTGATTGCAGGTCGTGAGGGTGGCACTTTTGAGCTTAAGAAATCTTGTCAAGAAGGGCAACTTTGCAGCTGAATTGGTGGGGCTCGGCATGCCCAAAATTATTCAAAACTTGAGGCTTCAGGCATGGAGCGACGAGGTACATCTTTTACCTCCCTCAAATGTCCTCAAACCTTAACACCTAGTCTTGCTCATAGATTGGAGGGTTCAAAATGGACGTCCTAACGTTTGTGGATGAAACTGAATAAAAACATGGCCGTTTTATCAATAGGATCTGAACGCAGCGCTCGATGAACTTGAAAGCACGTTGAAGGACAGCGCCAAAGAACTCAATTCGTTTGACAGATACAAGCAGGAGGTCTTTTCTGGTAACTTAGACTGGACACCGATGCACAAAGACCAAAGTTTCTGGAGAGAGAACATCAAGAGGTTCGAGGACGATGATTACCAGGTAATAAAATTCTTTTGTCCGTGTATCATGTTGCCTGTAAGTTTTACATATCACTGAGACAGTCATTGCTTAGAGGTTGTTGTATTGCATCCGAATGGGTTGCTTGTAGTCAAAGAAGAAAGGTGTGGAGGAAATCGTAGAAGGGCTCGGACCATCTAAACACCAATGTATTTTTTATGTCTTCTGAAAGGTGATACTTAGAAGCATAAGTGGCTGTCTAAGGAGAACCTCGGCTACTATGGTGTCAGCATCAATTTTTTTGAACGTTTCGGTATCGCCATGCATTTCTAATTAGTGACCTTTTAAAATCTTGTGTTGCAGGTTCTTCGAATTTTGATCACAATTCTAGAGACCTCTAGGGATGGCAAGACATTAGCAGTGGCTTGCTCCGATATCTCTCAATTTATCCAGAACCACCCAACTGGTCGTGGTATCGTCTCCGATCTGAAGGCGAAGGATCGTGTCATGCGTCTGATGGCGCATGAGAAGCCTGATGTAGCAAGGGAGGCTTTGCTCTGTGTCCAGAAAATTCTTCTCAGTCCCAAATACGTCAGTTATATGCAGTAAGAGAGGTTATGTCTTCGTTCTGTAGAGGAAAGGTGGTGGAGGTGGATGAAGAGCAGCTGCTAGACGGCTTCTTAATCTGCAAAGCTTCAATGGAAACATAAAAACAAGTCTTGCTTGTTTATGGTGTCTGCGGTGGCACATGTATTTAGTATTTGTTTTATTAATTGTCAATAAGGTTTGTCACTGAGACGTACAAGTTATTGTTTAGTGTTGCACGCGGAGCAATCGGAAAGTGTTAATGCAAAGGGGTGGCCGGCCTTCACGGTCTTGAACCTCAGATTGAGAGCTACCTGGCCCGTTAGGTGTCTTTTGAGATATTTCGCGTATATTTGCAATTTTACTTGCAGGAGATAAGGAATTTTTGTGGTGAATATCTTCTCTTGATCTGCTTCATGCCAAGCCCAAAAATACATTCAAACCAAATTCATCTTCATCATGCCAAAATTGTGAGTTTGATGAAGGATCACCTCCATCGAGGACAGCTATGTGTTTACCATCCCTTACCTTATCCTTTCGAAAGGAGGTAGTTTTACGCACTTAATCTCGACACTGAGTGGCGTACCATCCCTGCCATCAAATCTTACATCGACTTTCCAGTATCGTACATCATGTGTTATATCATGATCAGGACCCACTTCACGAAGACGCAGACAACATCTTCTGCGCGGAGATCTTCCGGTGTCATTGTTACAGTGTGACGCCACCATCAGACCTCTATAGTTAGTGGTGCACTGGTCATACTGCAGATTTCTGATGGGCACCAGTTTCGAAACGTGCACAGTTCCAAGCAGAGAAGAGATTGCAATCAATCATTTAAGCTTGTGCTCGCTGGCCAGAGAAAGGCTGGGAAACTGAGCCGGGAGTTTTCACTGCATCAACAGTGCTCTGTTACCAGCCACGTCAGCCACAAGCGCGACAGCGCCACTGACCACATCTGGTTCGAAATCTGAACCTTAGTGACCGAGTGTGACCTTCTGAACCTCATGAGGGTTACGGAAACTGCTCGGTTATTCTTTTTCCTTTTCCAGCTGGCTAAAGGAAAGAGCTTGCGCGAAAATAATCCGACTTCAATCGCTGCTCATATCAAGAATTCCACATTTTCACAAAATGGCAAAGTTGCCGAGGACTATTAACAGAATGAACCACGAACAATGATACGCAGCTAAGGACAGAGTGCAGATGGATATAGATAGACTGTAATCATAGAAGATGACGTAGCAAATGCCTTGCCGGGTATAAAAAAGGGTTGCTCATATTTGTGTCATGCACTATTTGTTCCGAGCTCGAAGGTGCTGCTCCGCATAGTGACAGGACTGAAGGAAGGGCAGCCGAGTAACACGTACTGCGTGTGCGGGAAGGTTCTTGTACACTGCAATGGGTTCTTGTACAGGGCAGGCGGGTCACAGTTCTTATGAGTGTTCTAATATAAGGGCTTTAGGACCGTTTACCCCAAGGGTCGGGCGCCTGATTCACCGCGTGCCTGCCTCGGGGAAAACCACCGAGAGCATTTGAATTTCCAGCGCTGTTCTGGCGCCAGGAACGAAAAGGCGACGCTGCCGAAGAAGAGCGCGAGCGAGCGAGCGATTGAATGATTCCATGCGATGCCATGAAAGCGAGGGAAGATTGCCCCGCGACGTCCCATTGCTTCGCTTGAGGCTCGACATCTGCCCGCCCGGTTGTTGTTATGTGCTCAGCGTCGTCTCGCCTCAAGATTTCTCTCGATGTTCTGACGGCGTCTGCGCACAAAGATTTGGTTTGAATTGCCAGTGATCGGCGTTGGTCTCGGTAGCTCGCGTCGTCCGGCTGGGGGCGTGGTGAACGCTTGCATGTAGTGCGATGGGTTCGTATTTTAGGTGCGCATGGCATGGCAGCTCTAGGAGGAATGGACAATAGGAGGTGGTGGAATTTTTGCCGAAGAGTTAAGAGTGATTTCTCGCCTTGGGCGTCTGCTGGCGATTACGAAATTTAGCGTCATTGTTGAAACGTACTGGAGATTTTCTAGCTTGTAATGGGATGATAGATGTGGGCTGCCGATGAGAGAGAGGTCCGAGGACAGGTACGAAGGCAAGAACATGTGAATACGATAGCGTAGAGGATTCCGAGTTTGTGCTGCGTTCAGGAGGTTTGTGATATGCCCACAGAACGATCAGGCGCTGGACAGCTGTGGAAGCATTCGGCAGATTCTATTATGCATAGAAGGAGAGGCGTTTGTTCCATGCTTTGAAACAGAGTTGGTGGTGGGCAACAATGGGGGTTGAGAACTATCATGTTGTGGAGCTCGTTGGAGAGGGCTCCTTTGGCAAAGTGTACAAAGGAAGGCGGAAATACACCGGGCAGGTTCGTAAATTTGGATGCATCACAACAGCTCAATTTGAATTGTTCCAGCCAAAACTAGCTCTATCAGGTTCAATTCGTCATAGATCTGTTAGTTCTGTATCTTGTTGGGACCCTAGCTGCAATTCTATGTCATGCACTGCAAAATGTTAAACTTTGAAAGCCACTAAATGGCTGGTGTGAACTCGGGAAATCCAAATTATCCGTGCATCCTCTAGAATGAGGCTTTCATCATTATGTTAGGTTACTATCTTGCAAGCTCTCTTAGTCCTGGAATTGTGCAGACTGTGGCTATGAAGTTTATACTCAAACACGGCAAAAGCGACAAGGACATCGAGAATCTGAGACAGGAGATCGAAGTGAGTACATAATCTCGCCGAAGAGCCATAGCATTCCTAACTATTTGTCAGTACACTTATCATCCTGAGTTGTATTTGTGCACACCAAGGGGCTCTACCCGGGGACCTTATGACTGGGATGCCTATGGATTTCGAAGCCACAGTCTTAAGCATCGTTGCTTGAAGTCGATTTTGTCACTGGTCCAAGTTGAAAATATTTCTTTCAGCTTTTGACTTGTCTGTTTACTGTCCAGATTTTACGGCAACTGAAGCATGAAAATATAATTGAGATGCTCGATGCATTTGAGAGTCCTCAGGAATTCTGTGTGGTGACGGAATTCGCCCAGGTGAGATGATATATGTCTGTGATACAAGAAAATGCATCTTGCGGAAGCTGACCCTGGGACCTCGTAAGGCAGGATCGTACACATGGACCTTCCAGCGATTCGACCTCCGTTTAAGACTAACACTCTAAATTATTGTGATTCTTCATTCTGTCAGGGCGAACTCTTTGAGATCCTCGAAGATGACAAGTGTTTGCCAGAAGCCCAAGTTCAAGCTATCGCCAAACAATTGGTATGGAAATGGTCCTTCGTCTCTTTTCTCGATCTTGGTAGCGTATTCACTTTAGTCATTATCTGAGAAGAAAATATCATTGCCATACCTTTCTCTCTTCACAGTTCTCCTTCAGAATGCCCAGGGAGGTAGGATAAGGATATCCAGGTTGTAAGTTCTCCTCATTCCTACTCTTGAATAAAAAAAGAGAGACTATTGCCCCTTCGTAACTTTTACTTCCACTGGATTACTAGGATCGTTCTCAGCACACTCCTTGTATTATGGTCTACTCAACCAAGAACGTCTTAAAAGTCTAATTCTTGTGAAACTCCTCAGGCTCGAAAATAACCTAATTGTCAAGAGCTGAGGTTGTGAAGGTGACATCTAAGTACGACTTTTTATTCTAAGGCTAATCTTATTCATTCTCAACATGTTCGTGCACACATACGCTACTCTTTACTTTTTTGTGTTCAACTCGTCCCGCCTCTTACTCTCTGATTCCCAAATTACAGGTGAGAGCATTGCATTACCTTCATTCGCATCGAATCATCCACCGGGATATGAAACCACAAAATATCCTGATCGGGGCTGGTGGCATTGTGAAGGTCAGCTGAAGTGATATTCTGTTATTGCACTCTTGGTTGATTCGATCATAGCTCCGACTAGATATCTGATGACAACCGTTGACGACAACTTGCATCCCATTGTTGGTAAAAAGTGTAGGTGGGAAGTATTAATTGTATAACATGAATAGTAAAGACTTGAATGCCTGGAGTGTTTTCAGACTCCTAGTTCCTCTTCTTTATCTTTCATTCATCTGCGAAGTGCACTAATAATTTTCTAACTTGAATTTAACGTCCATGGCTATCTAGTTGTGTGATTTTGGATTCGCGCGAGCAATGTCCTGCAATACAATGGTCTTACGATCGATTAAAGGTACTGTCAGCTTTCCAATCCTTTGCATCAAATACAAAAGCTTTCCAAGGCTTTGCATGCCCAACGAGCAGCTTGCTTGGAAAAAATCTGACTTTTAATATAGGTAGTTTACCATCTCTACAATAAGATTTATCTCAGAGACGTACTAACCCCGCAGTTCTGCCGAGCAGGTACTCCACTGTACATGGCACCTGAGCTGGTTCGAGAACAGCCGTACAATCACACAGCTGACCTTTGGTCCCTAGGGGTTATTTTGTAAGGACCCAAATTATACACATGTCTCGTGATGTTGAAGTTGTGCATCTGAAGCCATAAATTAGGTGCTTACAGCAGTTATAAATTCAAGGTCCCCACACTTTTTAATTCTTTTGTTGGAAGAGCAGAGTAGAACTAGGTTGCGACGTGCAAAACTTGGATTTATTTGGGAGACTTCTGCGTACATCTGCAGGTACGAATTGTATGTGGGGCAGCCTCCGTTCTACACAAATTCTGTGTACACTCTGATTCGTCACATTGTCAAGGTTGGAACCTCTTGTACTTATCTTGTGCGTAAATATTTTGTGGTTATCTAGAAACATGTAGTAAAGGTAGCATCTCCTACAGAACCCAAACAACTGTACCTCGTGTTGTATTCTATAACGATTTAAGTGGCGTTTGCCGCTATGTTTTGTACCATGAGCTTTGAATTATTTGATCTCAACATCTCGAATTGATCTGGAGTCTAACCTGGTCCTTGTGTGAATAGTTTTTGAATCATTATCTTTAAAAGTTGTTTGATCCGTATGTCCAACTCGGTGCCATTCAGGATCCAGTGAAGTACCCTGATACCATAAGCACCAACTTCAGAAGTTTTCTCAAAGGCTTACTTAACAAGGTTCAGTTGCCTGTGACATTTCTATCCCAAAATCAAATTTGAACTTTCAATTCGTGAAATTTTGACGAGAACAGAGATCTGAACAGAGATCTAGATTACCAATACGGAGTGTCATAGAAAAGCTCATTAGACGCATTTTATGATTAGAAAGTTCTCACGTTCCAGTAAACCTTGCAGGTTTCACAAAATCGGCTCACTTGGCCCGGTTTGCTGGATCACCCCTTCGTCCGAGAAACTTCAGATGAGGTGGCTGCTCGGGTAAAGGCAATCATTGACTTAAGATCACATTCCGTCTTCATCTCATATTGCTGTGTCTTCTTGTCAATTTGTTACTATAAACATAGCTCAGGTGTTTTGTCTTTAAATTTCGATAAGTAATTCTGATTGCAGTTTGAAATGATGGAAGGTTTATAATGCCGATTGCAGCAAGTGATGTTCTTTGATATATGTGTTCTCCAGCAGCACGATTATGTACTTCTCGCGAGATGTATCTAGCTAGCTCTATTTCATACCATGTTATTTTCCATGTGGCTATGCTACAGGAAGCTCGTGCTGCCACTGCTGCAGCAAGAGGCTGCGATGCAGCCTGGAGGGGCGAAGTGAACATTACATTGTCTTCTCCAGCATCGGTTCGAAGCACAACCCATTCCCAGGCGGCAAGCCCTGCTGGTACACCTTAGGATCTGCGACATAATCCCACCTTTTTGTTTAGCTTGTCACATGCATCACATTCCCACTTAAATTTCAGTCTAGCAGCTAAACGACATTTATTGTTGCATGTTTCCAGGTAAAACTAGACCAACCCGAGACTTCCCAGAGTCTGCACCAGAATCTCCTGCAGCTAATAGTCCTGCACTTCAACCTTCAAACAAGAATAATCAACCTCAGCCACCTCCGGTGTCTCCGGTGAATCAACCTGTTCCTCCGAATGCCGCAGGTATTTTTAATGAAGAACATATGAATTCTTTCTCGATGTTCTGCTCAGTATGCTTCAGTTTAGATTCGTTCATTTTTTGTTTTATATTGTAGTGACTGAAAGGAATGTCTTCTTAGTTTCAATTCTGACTTAATAATGTTCTCAAAGTCAAAAGTTGAATTATCTGCATTCGGATCGCAGAGATGTCTGTGTTGGATAAGGTGGAATTCACTTCTCGTACCGTCAAGGGAGCCCAAGTTGTTGGCCAAGATCGCGGAGCCGTTGCTCACATCCTTCATTCGTTCCGAAACTTACAGATTAAAGGAACAGCAGCCCTGTCGAGGCAAGAGAACACAATTGTCCAACGTCCTTTGATTCAAAATGAGTAAAATAGCATTACCTTTCACATGTACATTCAGATTTCAGCAAAGATGTCAGTTGAACATCCAGTTATTGTACGGGTCCTACAGAGTACATTTGTAGAAGATGGTTTAACTTTTATAATATTTTACTAGATTATCTCATGATGTCTGTAAAAATTATATGTGCTCTAGTGAATTTTCCTTCATCCTACTACATCAGTACGAATCTGCCCCAACTCTGATTTGCCTAGCGTTATTGAAGCTTTGAAATTTTTCTGCCACTACATTTCTGACATTTGTTGCCTTTTTGCAGTGAACAGTCGAGCGCAAATGCCAACCAAGGCCTTCGGATTTTGTCAAACTTACTATCCGGTGGTGCTTTACAACAAAAAGTTGCCGTTGAAGATGTGATACCGGCTGTGCTAGGTCTTGTACGAGCAACATTAGGCGCTAGCAACGGTCCACATGTTGGCCTCCTGATTAAAGTATAGCCTTGCACTTCCCTACTTGATGGCACGTTGTGGAAATCATATGTCTGAGGTTGAAATTATGTGAAGGAATAATCGCACCACCCAAAGAACTAATGCAGAACAAATGCAATTTATTATTATAATACTTAGAAGCAACTGTTTAAACATTATACAATACTGCTTAGAAGATCTTCTGGCATAATGCTGGAAGGGATTGCAAGCCAGATATAATTCATCTGCTGGAGCAATCCCAGGATGCAGGAATATTGGCATCTTAGGCATAATTAATTTTCTGTTGCAAAAGGTGTGATAAGTTGAAACCTGTCCTAAAATCGTTATCTTCCACTTTCATTGTTGGGGAACTTAGGGTCTAGCCGTGCTTCGTAAGCTCATGGAGGTGGGTGGCAATAGAGTGGAGACTTCATATCTGCACCACAGTGTGGCTATATTACGACTGTATCCTCAGGTCAGGCACCACTTTCGTTTGTCTCACGCCACAAACATTTTTTTTTAATTCTCGCATGTTGTTAGTCAGCTACGAGCATGGCGTACTTACATATATGTGGCTGAGCATTCACAGGCTGTGGCATATGCGCACGATCCATCGGGCCGTGTTCTCTACGATTCAACTTCATGTGTCTCTGTTCTGCTTACCAGAGTTGTCAGTGGTTTAACTAGCATTCTGACACCAGAACAAGGTGAGGAGGGTGAGAATCTAGGAGGCGCAGCGTCGGCAGAAGGTCAGATCATGGCACAAATCATCGGGCAGGCGAAGGCTGTCGGCACAGCTGACCACCTCTGTTCCTGCTTGAGTGCGACAGGGACAAATTTAATCTCAGCTTCCTCTACCTCAGCTCCTGTTGCTGGGGAAGCTTGTAAAGGTTTATGGGCTTTAATTAGTGGTCTGAACTTAACAAACGGGAAAGGTGATCTAAGACATGGATTCCCTCTAGCAGTTCTGAAAGGTTATGCAGAAACTTGGGCCGACGACAAGAAACTAGAGGACGAGAGTTTCAAACCAGAGGAAGGCAGCTCTGGAGTGATAGAGATGGTCACGGACAGTATTTCGAAATCCAAAAGTATGCAAGTGGCCGTTTGCTATGCTCTTCTGCACGGGTCCGATAATGCATTATCGGCTGTTATGCAGGTACTGAATCGTAGATCCTGTTGTATGAGTTCATTAATCCCAAACTTTTTTCCTTTAGGTTTCAAACTTTATTGATTTCGTTTTTCCTTCACTTCTTCTTTTTCATCTTTCAAGTCTGGATACTGTCCAATGTCACTTCCGCCTACCGTATTCCTTATTCAGCTGCCAAAGACATGTGAATTTGGAAAATCATTCTGTAGTTTCTGTTCATTTGTGCTCGCAGGTATTGCTCCGATGTTGTGTCCTTTCTCCTGTTGTATGTGACGTGCTCGCAGGCATATCTGCACAAGAGTCCCCTTCTCAAACACCTGTAAGTGGTGGAGGGGATGGGACAGCCGTAGGTGCAATATTTCGAGTACTCTCAGTCCATGGTTCGTCCTCAGCACCTACAAACAATGGCTTCAAGGAGCCGGGTACTGCCGCAACCGAAGCTACTCTGAAGCTCGCAACGGAAGGTCTTCTTAAGCAAGCGTGTCTGGCATTAGCTGCAATCGCGCAAGGCTTAATGACACAAGGTAGAAGAGGTGCTTCTTGCATGCTCAGCGGATCACAACCGAAACAAAGAGCTCGTCTCTCTGCCCTGGCTCATCAGTCTTTGCTTGATGTTGTGCCCAAAACGCCTCTAACAATGTCGAGAAGCGCATCAGCTGTTCTGGCTTTGTCATCTATACTTAGTCTCGAACAGGGAATAGACAGATTTGGTGGACCTTGCTGGGTCTCCGAGTTGGTACTTCCCCTGTTACCATCATACTCTGTAATCCGAAGTTCTCTTCAGGTTTCTCCAGCTCAGTATGGAGCTGAGGCACACCAAGCCTCAAGTGTGAACTCTGGGATGCTCACTAGCTGGCATGGATTGAGGGATGGTTATGTTGGGGTTTTAGAGGCCAGGCTTCGATGGGGTGGGTCGTCCGCATTAGAACAAGCATGCTCTGCTCATATTCCACTAGTCCTTGTCTCCCTTTTGGCTGGAGGTCTGAAAGGAAGCAGCGAGGAGGCAGATGAGCCAGCTGGGCTTGGTGAGGACCTTATTGGCTTATCTCCCAGAGGAGTTGTGTGGGCTCTTTCGGCGATTGCATATTGTTTACCAGGAGGAGGCTTCCGTGATGTTCTTTTGAGACGGGAGCAGTTGCAGGCTTTGCTGGCGCTTGTTGAGAAGACACATCTTACACATGTCCAGTCATGGGAGGGAGCTGGAGGTGGTAGTGATGGTTTGCGAGATACTGTACATGGAGTTGTTAGAGTTTTAGAGTTTCCTTTTACAATATCGCAACAAGCAACTCCTACGTCACCACCTCCTGCCTCGGGGAACAGTACAGTCGCCGGATCTGATTCTCCTGGTGGTAAAAGAGGAAGCGAAGGAACGGAGCTCACGAGAACTGTAACTGCCAGTATGCCTCATTATTGGCAGCTTCTTCAAGAGGTGTGGTTCTTCGCGATCTGAGTTTTCTTCTGGTAGATTTGTTAACTTCATGCTACAAACGTCGTTGACGATTTCCGATAGGCAGTAAGTAACTAACAACTGACGTACCTTGTTCGTTCTGTGATCCTCAGGTGAATGTCGCCTCACCTTTGATCAGGTGCTTGGAGATGTTGAACAAGGACGACCTGGGAAGTCCTGTTGCCCTTATTGCCAGGATGGTTCAGAGTTCAAGAATATTGGCCGGGGACCTTGTGAAGGAAGGATTTTTAAGCAGTTATATGATGAGCAAGCTGCTGGATCCGGCCTGTCCCAAGGATGTCTTACGAGATGTTCTTATGACTGTTTCAAACCTTGCTCGGCTTTCTAAGGTAATTCAGCCTCATCCATCGAAGAAAGTCTCAAAACGCTCGCTGACACCCTCTATGCTGGATTATCCTCATGACCTTTACTTCATCCGCTAGCAAGGTTGACAAGCCATTTCTGTATCTCTGCAGGACTTTTATGAGCCTATCGGGCAAGCAAATATCTGGGAAGCCATGAAAGTATTCATGAATCATGCCGATCCAAGTCTAAGATCGAAAGCATGCAGCGTACTTGGAAACATGTGCCGACATACGCCTTATTTCTATGACGCCCTGGTACATACTTGAGATCTCAATATATTTGGTCTGTATGCATCAATTGCTCTTCAGATTATGGTCTCTAGGATATGTAGCACACGCCTGATGCAAGACCGTTGTACGACTTCTTCAATTCTGATCCTCTATTTTTCATCTCTTCTTGCAGGTTGAACATGACATAATCAATCTTCTCATCGATCGTTGCGCCGATCCAGACAGACACACTCGCAAATTCGCGTGCTTTGGGGTAAACATCTTCATTGTACTTGGATATAGTTGATTTTGTTAAATTTCAAGCTGATCCAGGTTGCGTAACAAGAAGTGCCACACTTGATTGCTGATATCTAAGAGGATGTTTGTTTTGTTGTATGTAGCTGGGTAATGCAGCCTATCATAATGATGCACTTTACGAAGTACTGCGAAGGTCCATCCCTCATCTCACAAGCCTTCTGCAAGGAGACGAGGAAGATAAAACGAAAGCTAACGCTGCGGGTGCTCTAAGTAACCTTGTCAGAAACTCAAACAAGCTCTGCGAAGATATCATAAGCAAAGGAGCAATGCAGGTAAGCAGGATACAAATTTGTGCGGGACTGAATTTTTTTTTCCAGTTCTGAAGCTTTTCTCACTGACATTATACCTGTCTGAGAAATCATGAAGTGAGCTCAACTGTCCCCCTCGGTTTTGCAGGCACTATGCCAAGTCATAGCCGACTGTGCCAATGCACCTGCAGGACACGATAGACGGGGAGCAAGCAACAGCGAGTCGCCCCTAAAAATCGCGTTGTTTTCTTTGGGGAACATGTGTGTCCACGCAGCTTGCCGACAGTACTTGCGGTCACCAGAGCTTTTCCGGGTACTGTTGAAACTGAAGCAATCATCTGATGCCACTGTTGTGAAATACGTCACCCGTATCACTTCAAAATTTCCTGATTCGTCTGCGAACCACCGATAGATCCTGAATATTCAACAAATTCCATCATCCATTGATTGATCCTCCTCTATCAGGGTACTTAGAACCCTTCATACATTCCCTTGCACCTGAAATCTTCCTTTCATGAAGAAAAAGTATTGCTCCACACTAGTCACCTTGAGCTCTCTCCTTTGTAGACTGAACGTCACGCGGAGGGACAAGATAACTTGCTCTCCAAACGCATTAGTTGACCCTAAGGGTCGTTAATGTCCCTTTCAATGATTCACCATCACCATCCTTCGATACTCAGAAATTGTGTCTTCATAGTTCTCTGCACACTGTAGGAAGTTAGCTGAGATGCCTAGGCTTGAGCGGCTTGTAAACTAATTGAGCGATGAAGTAGTTCAGCGGCCAACCGTCCACACCTAAATAGCGGCAGTTTTTTCCAATTCTTGGACAAGGTTGATTCACCTAGTACATCCATTTTCTGTACAATACTATACATACATATGGCCCAACGACAAGTGAAGCTTCTGTACTCCGCGTCTATTTCACCTAAATGTTCGCCTCATGTATTTCTCTAAAATTTCGATCCTTTGAACGTACGTTCTGGGTAAATGGTCGGACGACGCGGCACAAAATATGGCACTAAATTTGCCTACCAACGAATACGATGACCTTTATCAGGGGAGTAGATTCGTTTTAGTATGGAAAAATGGTTTCCGAATTCATGCAATCTGAAAAATTTCACGCAACGTTTTCCGCCTGAGTTTCGATGGAATATTGGTTTGCAAATTGACCTAGGCTGAGAAATTAATTTTCCCCAGTTACACTTAAATTTCCAAATTTTGGAGTTTTCTTCCGCTGAGTTTCGAGGGGACTTTTTTAAGAGCAAACATTGATACCAACTTCCGAAAATGCAGCAGGTGAACTCGAGTTTTATGATACTTTCTCAGTTTTGACTTTTACGTCCAGCCAAGAAGAGGACGTTAAAATTGGAGATATTTCAAGCTGGAGAGTACCTCCTTCTTGCCTAAAGAACTTATTTCCTTCCGTAGGACTATTTGCACCCTTGTTCCTGCCGATTTGTTAGGACTGGTGATGGGGTTTATTTTTCTTGACGATATTACAGCAAGAACTTATTGATATTTTGTTTGTGGAAGTAAACAAATACGCATATTTTTTTTTCACTTTGTAAATCGAACTATGGCCCATGATGTACCTTGATTTATGGATTACCATGTTGTACACTTCTAATAGTAGACTTTACCTGCTTATTCTTTTGATTACTTGTCAAATTTGATACATTTGTTCCTTCATTGGCTCAATAATGCATAGGTACTTTCTATTCCTAACATCTATCTTTCTATGCACTTGTGAATTTCACTTGGACTTGAAGTACCAATTTAGGTATATTGTATAATTATTCACACGTGTTTACAACATGTGTCTATGTTGTATTTGCCAATTTACAAAGTATAGGTTCAATCTGTAACCACCAATATGGTGGTCTCTATATCAACCGTGGAAATTTTCTCACGTGAAGTATGCCTTGCAATTGATTGATGTTAAACATACCTCTGTTTGGTCGACGGTAACATGTCATTCATGCAGTGTTTTAGTTGCATATGATGATTCTCTACCAAACCCACGTCAAATATTGTCTTGCACAACATTCTTAGAGGGAGAGCGGAAGAGCAAGCAGGAGAGTTAGGATGCAGTAGAACTTAGAGGAAGCCATTCGAGTAAAAAGCACTATGAAAGAAGGTGACTCTCGTAACACATCGTACACCTGGATTCGCATATTCAGAGTAGATGTAAACTTGAGGGATTGTATAAACTTAAAAGGAAGAAAACACTATCATTTTTCCCAAGAATTAACAAAAAATGCGTATACTAGCTTCGACTCTCTTGGGGTTGGAGAGAAGTCCAGAGGCTGTGGTCGGCTCAAAATGTGGACGTCCATCCACTCCTAGGCTCCCCTGAGGAATATTTTGTACAAATACAAAGAGCATCTCTAGCTTCACTTGATTATTTTCTCGCTAGGATGATCATCCAGTTATGTATGATTCGTTTTTTTTACTGATTTGCACTCCGGTCCATACAATCAAGAAAGAAGTGATTCTTCTCTAGCCAAGAACAAGTAAACGGAGTACCGTCCAATAGAAATACCTCCATATCATTCCACAGAGTTGAGCAACAAGTAAAAGAACAACTGAGCTAAGAACTTAAGGAAATGGACCCCTGACAACTGACAGAATTGAATACGTGTCAGTATGTATGTTAAGATACTTCATAAAACCCAGATGCAATGTATCAATTGTGACAATGAGTCACGTGTGTGGAGCAAAAGCACACAATTAAACGACAATGAATCCAACGCAGGTCATTCAAACTAGCGCAGCCTATGCAGCTGGACATAGGGACCATACCCATGTTTTGTTTGTATATTTATTTCATTATTTCAGTAGGATGAAAGGATAATAAAGTGTAGCCAAGAAAATATTTAAAGTCTTTTATTAGATACAATATAAGTACGCTTCAAATTAGTCAACAGCTCATACAAAATTCCGCTGAAGTACCTGTTGCTGTGACTGAGAGACACGCTCCTCCTCAAACCATAACCCTTGTCTTCCTTCACCTAAGAAGGTCAAAGACGTTCAAATAGCATAACACATAATATAACAAAAGCTGTCATTTTTAGTTCAAAGTTTATATAGAAGTCAACATGCTATCAGATTAAAGCGCGAAAAGCTATTGAAGGTGTAACTACCCGAATAAAGGCGCGCGAGAAAGGATTCCGAAACTCAGAATCGTCAAGCTTGGGAATCTGCTTGCGAAAATTCTGATCATACATCTCCCGGTAGCATAAACAACCTCGTCTCTATACAATTCCCTCATTTGGAAAACTACAACGTAATTCTAGAAGCATCAGAAACTAACGTAGCTGCGACCTGCTCTCAGCCCTACAGATGGGCCATCGCCTCACGAATATTGTGATCCGTTGAAAATATTGATAAGATTAACATCCCTGCTTTAAAATAAATATTCTTCTTTGTTTGTAGGATTTAATTTCGATGATGAGTACCGTAATAGTGCATGTCTAGCACTATTACGAAGAATCCGTCAGATTGGTTATGATTTGTATAAAGCATGATGGAAAGAATATGCGTTGCTTGTTGAGACGTAGATTTTTACAAATTAAACAACTCATTCAATGATTCCTATCTATTATAGAACATGATGTTGATGTTCATTGATAACGATATATTAACTATTCGTGTATTTGTCACGTTATATTATGATTAAATGGTTTCATTGAAAGTTATAAATTTATTATGTATGTGTTTCTTATGTTATGATGGAAATTGGAGAAATTATATCAAAAATAGAATATTTCTCACTATAACATTGAAATTATTAATTGAAAACTAAAATTAAATTTTTTTTATATTTGTTTATGAGGGTCTATTCTTATCTTATCACTAGTATCATCATGTGTTAGGTGCTGACGAACAAGACATTTGATATTTTCAGTATGTGATGAATGTGAAAAATATACACATTCTACACTTCATGTATGGTTATTGTCACTAGAGAACCCTTCGATCTACTACATCATCAATTTGTTTTTCACGTGTTCATCATCCTCTCATTCCATATCACTCTTAATTCTTGTGGATATTGCAAGACTTGTTCTAGAAAGTGAAAAAAAATGTACACATAAAATATATGAAAAAAAGACATTTACTAATCTCAACGTTTGAAGTTTATGATTGATTTTAAAAGAGATTCTGAACTCAATCATTGACTGCAGGACCCACCATATACCGCAGCCTTCAATCCGTTAACTTACCTTCCGTTATCATTCAAATTTATGCAAAATTCAAATCCAACACGATGGTGCATCGTCGTATTTACGACGAATGCGAGTTGAGCGAGCGTTTCCTAGTTCATTGCTGTAGTAAACTCATGGATCGTGGATCCTGCTGAACTACCATGCTCATGCTTCTAGTCAAGAATATTGTGTAATCCATGACTTCCAGTTCTCTTTCATCATGGTCTATTTGAAATGAACAGTGTTACGGGTTGGATTGTTCTTGTTGTGACTTTGAAGATTTCCAACGTTTTACTCTGAAGTGCGAAAAACTTAGTGATTCTCTGAGTTCTGAAAATTGACCGATCCATCACATTCACGGTAGAGTTGAAGAGACCTTTTATATCAACAAAGGGAGCTGCCAAGGGATGAAAATACATCTATTTGGAGTTGCCAGATTGTTGCAATCCTGCACATCAGTATTCCTCCGGATTGCACCTAATTTGCGTTAAATGCGCTCCAGAACAAATCGTTCCGATTTTGTTACCACATGGATCTAATGTTTACTCTAAACTCGATAAAAACCTCTCCTACACTTCCGAAAGCGGTAACTTCCGTATGTTACACTGATCTGGATTCATCCAGATCCGAATGATTGAACCTTCTTGCCAGAGTTTTAAACGAATGGCTAGAACCACTGAGCCGTTGATTTAAAGTGGCGAATGGCTAGAACCACTGAGCCGTTGATTTAAAGTGGCCAATTTCACCACGGCCCGGTATGTTTTAAGTGACTGGACATCCACTATCTTCTACTGACCCGCTACTCGGTTGTTTAGCAGTTGCGCTTGACCTACTCTCACATCGCCCAAGTTATTCTCCAACCCGGAAGCGGTCACACATAGTCTGTCCAAACTACATCAATAATCCGGCTAAGCTGTACTTCATCTACTAGGTGATTCCCGAGAACTCTTTCCAAGATTACTCTCTAGACCTACTCACAGGCTTTTGTTCCTTTGATAGGGGAATTTCGGCCTTAGCTCAGAATCCCAAACACGCCCAATCATTCCCTAGAGAACTCCAAGAATACCTCGCAATGCGTCTCCTCCCCTTCTGGCTACTTTGGACTCTGGATCGAACCAGGGTCTCCCGCCTACATACGCCTTTGACAGCTCCGGCGATCTCCTGCTACCGGTCTCAACTAGTTCTACTCCGGAATTATCTATAAGGGAATAAACAAAGTAGAAGAAATACAACATTCAACCACAATGTACCTTGCCTGTAGACTCATGCCTTACATCATGTCACAAAAGAAACACTTTTCTTTGCTGGTTGGAAAATACACAAACTCCACACAGAAAACAAGATACTCAAATACTAAGCCGCTTGGCTCTAAATACTAATTTTTTTCGTATACTTATTCACAAAATCTTGCTAGGAAATCCTGGAGATCTTGGACTTGAGCTCGAGCTCCAAAATTTCGGATCTGAGTTTCCGGTCCTTCTGGAAACTCGAAAACTTACTTCTGGATACTTCTAAACTAACTGTAGGACAAAATATTATCTACCGGACGTTACCCAGTAACCGGGTGCGACATTGGGCCCATCTTTATTTGCTTACCGGACTAAGGCACACAAAAACATCCTAATCATTAAGTTGATTTACATTTATTGGAGTTCCATTAAATTTCTTGAGGCGATGGCTCCCGCTTAGGTGATTTGTTCACTACGTTTACCAGTCATCTCTGATGTTCCCTCGATAGCT